GCATTAGAGATCTTCTATCTGAGATAATTTTCTTTCTGACTAGAAATTTAATTGGATATTTCTTTTTTTCTTTTGTAGAAATCTGAGTCAACTGTGTGTGTGTATGTGAGTGTGTGTGCATGTGTTAATATGTTGTAAAAATGTTTAATCGTCAGTCTCTCATTTTCTTGAGACAGCAACATTAGTCTTATTCGTCTTTGAAGTTAATAAGGTGCCTTTTTGCTTTAGGGGTCGTTTTATGATTGCCTTCCTCTCTTGGCTTTCAGCTGTCTTACTAGGTTATGCTGTGGAAGTCAGTTTGTAAAAATCCTCCCTTGTGATATACGTACCCTCGTGCAGTCCCTTCTTTTCTTAAAAATAATTACATTTTTTATTTAACTTTATTTGATTGTTTATTTTAATTTGATCAGAGAGGGACAGAGTGAGAAAGAGAGAGAGAGAGAGAGAGAGAGAGAGAGAGGAAGTGAGAGAGATAGAGAAAGTGAGAAAGCAAACCACCAGGTCCAGGACTTGAACTGTGGTTGGCCATGTGGGAGTCCAGCACATTTAACCACATCACCTGCCAGCACCGTGCAATCCCTTCTTCTTCAGTGTGGGCTGGTTTCTTGAGGGACAGAGTGAGAAAGAGAGAGAGAGAGAGAGAGAGAGAGAGAGAGGAAGTGAGAGAGATAGAGAAAGTGAGAAAGCAAACCACCAGGTCCAGGACTTGAACTGTGGTTGGCCATGTGGGAGTCCAGCACATTTAACCACATCACCTGCCAGCACCGTGCAATCCCTTCTTCTTCAGTGTGGGCTGGTTTCTTTTTGAAATGTTGGTTTCTTTTTGATACCTTTAAAGTTTTTTCAAAGAGCTCTTACATACATTTTCTAATCATTGTAGTAGAAAGATTACTCTGCTATAGCTATTTCCATGTGCGTGAGCTTAATTGTACGTAGTACTAAAGATAATTTCTTGGTTTCTTAAGAAGATGCTATTACATTGATAGCAACAACTTTCTCACTGCCAAATGAATAACTTGGAAGGTGTTTCTCCTGTAAGGCACATTGCTTCATGGCCAGGGCACAGAACATATGGATGTCGGATGCTTTCTAGTTAGCATACTTCTCTAGCTTTTACCTGCTAAGCGTACCTTTGTCAGAAAGTTGTTTTTTTTTTTTTTTAATTTTTAGAGAGTACGTGTGTTTATGAAAGAGATAGATCTGAAGGGAGCTCCTCTAAGTGTGGCATTGGTCGCATTGCAATCCTTTCTCTTCCGTTTCTCTGTCCTGTTGGGATTTAGGACATGTATGTATACACACTCAGCATGTTTTTAAAGCCAGCGGGGTTGGAATTTGAACTATGATTTTCCATGTGGGATATGGTTCTTTAACCACTAGGTTATGCCCTGTTTCAAAAAAACCATTAAAAAAAATATTTATGCTAGTTATACTGATTATTATACTTCCATGACTTTATTATGTAAAAATTTGCAACATGAGTTTTTTTCCCATGAAAACTTGAATTCATTTGAAAGACTATGTAGGTGAATTGATAGAACAGTTACTGGTGAAATAGTCATGTTTGATCAAACTATAAAACACGAAGGAAAGGACTTATAAAAATCAAGAATTTCTCAATGAAATTGTTTCTCAAGTGTCCAAATTCTCGCTCCATCTCAAAGAGACCAAAATTAAAGATAATATGTTATGTAACAAAGAATCTAGAGGATTCGTTTTAGAGCCACATTAAAGAAGAAAACCTTGTCTATGTATCAGAATATATTTATCCTTCAGTATCAACAAGTGATTGGTTGAAGGACCCTGGTGAATACTAAAAATCCAGTGATGCTGAAGTTTCTTATTTCACATAGCATAGTGTTTGCCCATAACCGGTGTGTAGTTTCTCATTTACAAGATTTTTATACAACCTTTCCTGTTTACTGAGGGGTGAGCATCTTTAAAAAGTTCAGAAAAAATTCATATTATGGAAAAAGTTACATGTGTGTTTCAATTTTTTTGACACCAAAATACATTTGTGCTTCAGTTTCATTTTCCCACATATTTTTCAAGGCCCTTATACTTTACAATAATTTCTAGATTACTTAACATGCCTGACACAATGTAAATATCATAGGAATAGCTTTATACTATGTTGTTCAGGGAATAAGGACAAGAAGAACGAGTCTGTGCATGTTCAGGGCCACCTATCTCTTTGTTGTGATTGTCATCCTTGTCGAATCCATGGATAGAGAGGGGCTATTATATTTTTGAGAGAATACATACATGTTGTAAGTTTAGTAAAATGCTTAGTTTATTTTTCTTTTATTATGATTTCGTTTTTTTTTTTTTTTTTTCCTGACTGAACACTTTACTGATTCTTACTGCATCCTACTACAGGGCTTCTCTTTGACTACTGAATATCCAAATGGTGTTTTTATCCTGCCCTTTTATAAAGAATTTGCAAACTTCCTAACTGAATCATTTACATAATTTTCATTTAAATTACTATTTACCTAGTAGCACTATTTGAAATCCATAAAAGAAGTGAACACTATTTGCTAAGCACATATAAGCTCTTTCTAGACTGAGATCTGGCCACAAGTTGAACAGAGAACAGATAATTATTTGGTGACTCTTGCTCATTTGCTAGCAACTTCCATAAATTATACAGATTGTTTATCTGTATGAAAAAATCAGCAGATATTTGTGTTTTCTTCTGTTTATTTTTTATTCTATAAGCAAGGATGAGAGTTAAGTTCTTTTTATTAAACATTTATGGTATGTCTGGTATGAACAGACCTAGCAAAGTCAAAGAAGATTCATTCCTGTTCTCAAAGAGTCTTTAGTTAAGAGAGCCATTTTAATAAACAGCTATAGTGGAATCATAAGGTGCCGTTTTGCTTTTCCTTATGCATATAAACTTGTAACCTTAAAAACAAAACTTTCATTTGATGATATAATTATGTTATAATTTTAAAATGTATGATCTCTGTAACCTTTGCTCAGGGGCAGAGAGGAAACAGGCGTCATTGCCATTTGTCAAACTTCTAATAAGTTAGGAGAGACAATTGATATGAGATAATTTCATGCACTTCTTATATCGTAATAATATACTTGTTCTACTCCTAACTACTCTTGGCATGCCTTCACACCTAGTCATCCATAATGTCAGAGCTTCTACTTTACCATTCATTTCTTATAGACGGACTCTCTCTATTCTTAGAGTGTGATTTGTTCATTCTGGCTTGCCGTAGCAGAAGTCCAAATATTTTTTCCTATGCAAACATACCATAGACATTAGGTCCTGGTGTGTGGGATCCTCAGCCTGTCACAAATTTCATTATGCCATCTGCTTCAACCTGAGCAGTGCATCTTCTGCTGGCAGACTTTACTGAAGTTGCTATGGCTCAGGATTGAAAAAAAAAAAAAATCAGTCTTGGCATAAGAAGCTTGCTTTTGAAAAATAATAATTGATCATGCTTGCTTTAGATTTTTAAATAAGCTTTTGAAAGGATTCCCAAAAGCCTCTTCTCAACACATTGATCTCTTATTCATCCTTGATTGGAGATAGTCAATATAGTGATTGAATTATTGGTAACTTTGGTAACTTAATGAGTTTTTTGTTTTATTTTTAAGGACAAGTAGCAAACTTTTATGTATAGATTGGTGACATATTGTGAAATATTTTGATAGTTTCTGTCAATGAATACTCTTTACCTAATGTCTTATTTCTAGAAATGACAGTAGACTTTGTGCATAAAGCAAAGAAAAAAAATCTGGGTCGCAATCTACTTATTAATAGGTGTGACTAATGTATGTGTGTGACTTTATGTCATTTTATCATTTGTATGATGATACTTGGAGAATTATTTGGGAGATTGGATTAGAGTGAGTCCTTTAAAATGGGTAAACATTTATTCTGCAAATGTATATTGAATTCTGTGCAAGGTACTCATCTAGAAAGTCGAGATATAGTAGATAATGAAATGGTCAAATTCTCTTAGGTTCTAGTCTGTTCCCACTGACAGGGATGGAAGCTTCATGACTACAAGGTGTATGGCAGGTGGTGCTAAGTCCCATGAAGGAAAATAGGGTAGAGTAGACTTGTGGATAGCAAAGATATTCCATCACTTGGAAAATTCCAAGAGTTTAGAAATTACTTCCTATGAGCTGGGAACAAAGACTGGACTGTCTTTTGAGAAAGATCACATTCATTTTTTTTTTTTTTTTTTTTTTGGTGAGAGATTTTTGCTACAGGACATGTGTGCTCTCCAGAGAGACAGAAAATGAGAAATCACCCCAAGAGGGATGGCCATGCTGCAATCCTTTCTCCTTTATTCTCCTCTCAGGATTTTCAGCATGCCTGCATAAGTGCCTGGTGTGAGTTTGAAGCTGCTGGGTCCAGGATTTGAACCACAGTCTACCATGTGGGAGTCCAGTGACATAACCATTACACCATCTGCTGGTTCCAGTCACGTTCATTTTTACACACATTTTTATAAAAATTCAAACTATATAGAAAGTAAATAACCCCCTGGAACTCTGTCACACACACACACACACACACACACACACACACACACACACATATCAGTATTATATTGGTTGTTCAGTGTATGTTCTTAGAGATGTTTAATATATTTATAAATATCTCATCTTGAGTGTACATTGGCTCATACCGTACATATTGTTTGATAACTGCTTTCTCACTTAAGAGTGTGTTTATGGATATGTATATTTATGCATGTGTTTTAATGACTACCCTGAAATTTATCATTGGAAATAATAAGTTTTTATTTTTTTCATCATATAGATATAGTTTCAGTGAACATTCTTGTACACATATACTTGAGTACTATCCTGTTTTCTCCTTGAGTTAAATTTCTTAAGTAGAATTGCTGGATAAAAGGGTATAAACAGTTTGATATAGCATATATACTTTATTATTACCATTCCTGGGATGTTTCCTATGGAAGTTTATGGAATGTCAAAATTACTAGTGATATCTGTATTACTCTTAGGTAAACACTGCAACTTTGACAACTTCAAATGTTGAATTTGTCCATATTCCTCATCTCAGTCCAACCATAATTCCTACTCTACAAAGTGAACCATTTTTATTATCCCCAAATAATGGGAGTCTGGAAACACTTGCAGGATCTAATACTCAACACATCAATGGGAAACCTGTTTGTGACGAATTTGATCAACTGATTAAAAATATGGCCCAGGTGAGAACATTCTTCTTGTTACTTACAATAGAATGTATACATTTATTCTTTACTTAATGGTTTTTTTTTTATTTAAGATGTTTTTGCCTTAGGGCATGTACACTCACATGAGAGACAGAGAGAGAGAGAGAGAAGAGAGGAAGTGATATATCACCCCGCCCCCCTTTCAGGCGATGGCCACATCACAATCCTTTCCCTTCCAGGGATCTTGGACATGCCCAGTGTGATTTTTAAGCCACTGGGTCCAGGACTCAAACTGCAGTCAGCCACATGGTAGTCCAGCAATACAACCTCTATGCTACCTGCTGGCCTAGAATGTATATGTTTTTTAAAAGATTTTTATTTATTTTTTACTCTATGAGAGAGAGAAAGAGGGAGAGAGACAGAGAGAAACAGAGACAAACATCCTTGACAGTGTCTTGTGTTGTGGTCCATTCCTCAGCATTTCAACCAGCTAGTACTATAGATCTGTGTTCCTAGCACATTTAGTCAACCTGGGGTCTGAACTACAATCCTCCACGGACTTCAACATTGACAAATAGTGCCCTATTGTCTGTACCACCATAGCTAGGTCTAAAATGTGTATCTTGAAGGTTATAATTAAGCCCTAGATAGCTTATAGAATGTAGTGATATTTACAATATCAAAAAAACTGGAATGAAAAAGATTGATTTTATGGGAGTTTGTATGTTTCAGATATTTTTTTTTCAATGGTGTTTTTCTTTTTCTAAAATCATTTTGAAATTGAGTATTATTATGTTGTTTTTCATAAATATCTTAAAGGATAATAAAATTCCCATTCTATGTGATTAGTGCTAAAACTTATCTTGACAAAAATGTTCAATTTTCTCTTTTAAACAAAGTAATAACATTAATGATTATTACTACAATAATTGGCTTTTAATTTTGAATCTTGCCTTGTTTCCTGAACAGGGTCGCCATGTAGAAATTTTTGAGCTCCTCAAACCAGCATGTGGAGGCCTTGGGTTTAGTGTTGTGGGATTAAGGAGTGAAAACAGGGGAGAACTGGGAATATTTGTACAAGAGATTCAAGAAGGCAGTGTTGCTCACAGGTAAGAATGTCATACGCTGTTCTCTGTTGCTTTTGCTTTGTTTTTAGACAGAATTGTGCTGTGTGACAGTCCTTCTGCTCAGCCTCCCAAGCTGCTGGGACTACCACAAGCATGTGCCATTGCCTCTAGCTTTTAGGGTGGGCAAGGAATCCAACCCTGGCTGCCTGTGTGGCTTTGGCCTGCTTAATAGCAGAGTCTACCAGCCTGCGCTACCAGAATAGGACCTTTCTCTGTTTCTGGTCCCATGTTTAGGAGGTTTTGATCCTATTGACCAGTTATTCAAAAATGAATAAAAAATAAGTAAAAAACTATTGTTAACTAGTTTTTTGAAGTTACTAATATTGTGATAAGAAGACCTTTGAAGTGGGGGTAGCTTTTTTTTGTTTGTTTTCAATTTGCAAAGGGCATGTACATAGAGAGGGAGAGAGACAGAAGGAGAAAGGAGTGGGAGAAAGCACATGCCAATCAGACATAGTCAGGTCACAATCCCTTCTCTTAGATTTCTCTATCCTGTTGGGATTTTTGAGCATGTATACACACATGCCTGGTGTTTTTTCAAGCCGCCATAGACAGGATTTGAATTCCTGTCAACCATGTAGAATCCAGTTCCCTTAACCATTTGGCCATAGTGCCAGCCCAATATAAGAGTAGCTTTTAATTATAGTCATACCTTAATTATATTTTAGTACAAAAAAATTTGAGAGTAGAATTATTAGGTCATCGGAAAAGTCAGGACATATTTTGCCCTACAAAAATGTGTCATGACTTTTCTGACAACCCAATATTATTTTGTTAGTAAATGGGCTCTTTTTTTTTTCCCTTAAAAGTTTATTTCTTCTAAAACAACATCCCTCTAATAGCTTTCATCTAGCCCTAGATCATGGGCAAACTCATGCCTGGCATGCTCTGAGAGCCCTCCAGACTTAAATCAGGAACCATCCTACGTGGGATTGCCTCTCAGTGTCTCACGTTTACTGCTGTGCTACCGTCTGGTCCCTAAGTGTGTTCCTTTGGAATAGATTTTTTAAATTACTATACTAAAAGTGACCTACATAATTTGAATTATGTTTTATTTATATACTCAAAGCAATAACTAAGTATACCTATCTCCACTTTTATTTTTAGAAAATAGGAAAATGCAAGATATAATGTGTAGGTTGAGTGAGTAGCTAAAAAAAGGGGGGGTGTTGTTTTAAGTGGGAGGGATTGATTAGGGATATTTTAAGAGAATTGATTACCTGAAGAAAAACATCTATTTTAAAATGTAGAACTGCAAGCAAAAGCTTAAGTGTGACAATTAGAAAATAGGATTAAAAATGGCCCAAACATGATATTGCCAAAGAAGCCGCCTGTCATTTTCTGAAGAGCTGTCAGATATCTTGACCCCTTTTCATTTTTGATAGAGATGGGAGGTTGAAGGAAACCGATCAAATCCTTGCTATCAATGGACAGGCACTTGATCAGACAATCACACATCAACAGGCTATCAGCATCCTGCAGAAAGCCAAAGACTCTGTCCAGCTAGTCATTGCCAGAGGCTCATTGCCCCAGCTGGTCAGCCCCATAGTTTCCCGCTCTCCGTCTGCCGCCAGCACAGTCTCGGCTCACTCTAATCCGGTGAGTACTCAAGATCTGAAAAGGAGCAGAACCATTTTCCTCATTCGTTTTGGTTATCTCCAGGTTTCTAATTCCTATAGTTTCTTTGTACTTCCTGAGTTTTTTATTCTTTCATCTTTTCCTAGCCTAGAATATTTGCTATTTAATTACGACTATGTTTCTAGTTTCTAAAACAACCTTTCCTCTTCTCTGTGTAGAGAAGTGAGACAGATGAGACAGAGAAATACACAGAAAGGGAAAGTGAGAAATCACCCCCCTACAGAATGGGGCTGGCCACACCGCAATCCCTTTTCCTCCATGTTCTTCTCAGGATTTTTGGGCACACACATACCATGCCTTTATTTTCACACCACAAGGTCTTAACTTTTCAAGTTTATTCCTTTCCCGAATTCAATGATTTAATACTAATAACAAAATACTAATCACAGAAATTTCTGTTGTGATATAAAATTTTAGTGTTTTGAACATTTTTACCAATTCAAATAGAAGATTTGTTCTTAGGTTCACTGGCAGCATGTGGAAACTATTGAATTGGTGAATGATGGATCTGGTCTGGGATTTGGCATCATAGGAGGAAAAGCAACTGGTGTGATAGTGAAAACCATTCTACCTGGAGGAGTAGCTGATCAGGTGAGCTCTTCCAATAGGTTGATTGTGTTTTATGAAATAATGTAACTTCATCCTTTATACTTTCTGTTAGAAAGAGGACACATTTGCCTTAGACAATGTCAAAGAACATATATTGGAAACCTGTTTTAGTGGGCTGTCTCTGAAGTAGTCTTTTAAGCCTGAGGAAACATATCTTTGGAAAGGGACACAGATTTTTAAGTTTACCATTATAGACAATGAGCTTAGTACTCCTTAGAACTACAGACTAAAGCCAAGGTTATAGTCTTGATAGTTTTGGTCATTGTAGAGGTTGCTACCGTTTGTTTTATGATCAAAAATCATGTTTATAATCCTAGTCATCTATTATTATCACAAGCCATTATGAAAAAAAGACCACTTTATTATGGAGGAGGAAAATCACGATTCATCTTGACCCTTTGGTGATGGATATGAAGCATGACCTACTTTTATCACTTAGAGTAGTTCACTGAAGCATTGTCATTTATGGCGTGATGTTGTTTTAAGGTATGTTAGAAAATATTTAATACACTTATTAATTGTGAGTTAGATCTTAATTTAACAAGGTCTGCTAGTTTAGGCAACCATTGTCTTGATGGTAATTTACTGTTTATGGAGCTGTTTTGCATATGCCCTTGAACTTAAACCAGGATTCAGGTTCATCAAACATTTCACATATTCATAGATGAAAGGCTTACTTAATGGCAACCTTATCAATAGAGGTATCAACAGTGATACAGTAGTATATAAATTTTTCTTCCTTTTATAATATTAGCCAGCATTTCACGTATCAAATAAAATTTGCCCATTTCCCAAGTTTGCAATATATATATGTATATATATATACATGTATATATATATATATATACATATATATATATATACGCTTTATTTTCAGTATAGAGCTACGCTTCTTAATACTGTAGCCACTTGCCACATGTCACTTTTTAAATTAAAATTTAAATTAATTGAAATTAAATAAAATTACCAATTCAGTTCCTTAGTTGGACTAGCAGCATTTCAAGTACTCCACAGCCATATGTCACTGGGAGCTGCTATATTGGACAGTGCCGACTAGTTTCATCATTGCAGGAAGTTTTATTGGCCAGCACTTGTGTGTATGCTTTTAAGACTGCATATCACCCCTCATTTGTCTGCATTTTCATCTCATGCAGATTTCATCTGAAAATGAGTACTTTAGGACATTTATAGTCGAAATGGCCAGGCAAAAGAATGTGGTATTAATATGATGTTTTCTTGTGGGACACACTGCATTTGGAGTAATGTGTATTTACATAGTAATTTCATGCTTCATCTTTGCTCAATGGAATTTTCTTCTTTTCATCTCTCAGAAAAATTGCACAATATATATTTTTTCTTACACCTAGTAGGTAGCAATCAAAATGAAAAATTTATATTCCTTATGGGTTTAAAGAATAATTGTTGACTTTATTTATATCAAACTGAATCATGCTAGGATGTTTCAGAGGACAGTTAACATTCCAATTTTTTTTAAGAGAGATTTTTGCTGTAAGGTATGCGCACTCACTGGAGAGACAGAGCCAGAGAGCCAGAGAGCCAGAAATCAACCCCAGTGGGGATGGCCATGCCGCAATCCCTTTTTCTCCTTTCTCCTCTTGGGATCTTGGGAACATGCACCTGCCATGAGGTTTAAGCCACCGAGTCTAGGACTCAAACTGTGGTCAAGTACAAGGGAATCCAATAACATAGCCACTGCACCATCTGCTGGTCCCTACAACCATATGTTTAATGTCCCATGATGGTTAATTCTTATTACTGCCATATTTTATTATTCCCTTTCCCTAGTTTAGGATGTCTCTGATACAGGTATAATTATAGTAGTCTAATTATTCAACATCTTTTATTCAGCATGGGCGATTGTGCAGTGGAGACCACATTCTAAAGATTGGTGACACAGAGCTAGTAGGAATGAGCAGTGAGCAAGTGGCACAAGTCCTTCGGCAATGTGGAAATAGAGTTAAGTTGATGATTGCTAGGGGTGCCATAGAAGAACCTGCAGCACCCACCTCTCTGGGTATAACCCTCTCCTCATCCTCTGCTTCTACACCGGAGATGCGGGTAAGTAGATAAAAACAGTTAATATGGAAGTCAGAGGAAATGGCCCTTAGATAGTAATATACACTTAGAATCTATATTTATTATTGTTCATATATTGGGTAGCCCCATGGCCTAATGATTAAGGGAGCTGGATTCCGTCTGGCCGACCATGCAGTTGTTGTCCTGGTTCTGGTGACTTGAAAAACATACTGGCCATGTGTGTGTGTGTGTGTGTGTGCATACCCAGATTCTAGATGGGATAGAGAAATGGAGGAGAAGGAATTGTGGCATGGCCACACCCATGCAGGGTGATTTTTCCTTTCCCTCCCTCTGTCTTTCTGCCTCTCTTTGGCAAGTACATGTGCTCTATGGCAAATAAAGTTTTGAAAGCTTATGTATTATTGCTAAAGAATGTAACAAAATTCAGATATAGAAATGCCTCAGTACTAATAATATTTTACCTACTGGAAATAATGTGTAAAATAGATGAAAAATAGCATGATTAAAAATAATAGATTAGGGTGAACCAGCAGATGGCATAGCAGTTACATCTCTGGACTCTCAGATGGATGAGCATGGTTTGAATCCCAGATCCGGTGGCTTGAAACTTACTCTGGATGTGTGTGTGTGTGTGTATGCCCAGGATCCTGGGAAGGAAATGGAGGAGAAAGGATTAAGGTGTGGCCATCCTCCCTTGGGGTGGGGTGATTTCTCACTTTCCCTCATAGTGTCTCTGTCACTGTCATTCCATCAAGCACATGTACCCTAAGGCAAAAACCTCTTAAAAAGAAAATATTAGATTAGGGCCCATCAGATGACAGGGTGGTTAAGGCAGCTGGATCCTACATGGCCAACTGCACAATTTGAGTTCTAACTCTGGCGGCTTGAAGAACACACCAGGCATAAATGTGGACATGTCCAAAATAATTGGGAGGAGAAGGGACTTTGGCATGAGCATCTCCCCAGGGGATGACTTCTCACTCACCCACCCCCAGTCTCTCTGGCAAGCACACATGCCCTGTAGCAAAAGACTAAAATGCTGGATGGTTATTTTTACCTTTTTTCTCTAAGCAGTATATTTATAGAGATAATGTTATAAAGGATGGGCAAGATTTACTTTAATTAATTTATTTTTGTAGAGCGCATGTGCACTTGGTAGATAAAAACTGAGTAACAGAGAAAGAGGGAGAGGATGAGGGAGTGGGATATGGTCATATATTCCATTTTCTTCCATTTCCCCCTCCTGTGATTTTGGGCATGCATGTACCTATACATGTGTTTCTTAAGCTACCAGGTCCAGAATCAGCCATACCATTGGCCATCTGGGATCTCCCTGCCTTAATAAGCAGGTTCTGGAGTCAGCCCATAGATAAAATCTTAAAGAATTGCTTGCTAGTGATACCTAAAAGATTTAAATATATCTTTTTGTCCAGCTCTCTGTAAGACTAGTCATAGTTATAATCATTCCCTTTCAACAACATTTTAGTGTTTTTGTTTTGGATATATGGACATTGAGGAGTAGAGGCTGGCTTGGTAGGTATAAATAAGGCTTACTAAAAACTTTTACTATTATTATTTAGAGGTATGTCTAACTATTATAACTCTTATCAGATTTATACTGAGTGGTTATTTTTCTTGACTCAAGTTACATAACTTTTAAAATAAAAGTTGTACTTTTGGTGTAATAACAAAAGCTTTATTCATAGGTGTAGCATTTCATCCTTGTCCTTAGTTTGATATGAAAAAAGCTGGAACATTTCCAAATAGTAGTGCCTGATTCAGCTGGTTTGCAGGTTATAATACTATAGTGGTTATAAAACTACAGTGGATAAAAATAGCGACAAAATAATTTCATCCAGAAACCTTTTAAATATGAAAGAAGAGAATTGTTTACTGTCTCATGATGTGTAATTCATACCATTGCTGTTTTTAGATAAACTTTGCTCAATTTCTAGAGAAGCTTTATAGCAAATACAGGTTTTATATTCCTTTTCTATAGATGTAAAAACATCTACGTTTTCTTCTGTTAAAGTTTTTTCTAACCAGTTGCCATAAATTTTTTAATATCCTAACCTCCTCCATAAACGTTATTAGAACACTTGAAATTTCCATGATTCTGTTGTTTTTAGAATTGAATTTGGTTGCTATTTTTTGCAAAAAGAAAGAAGAAAGAAGGCTTGTTTATGAAAGTGTTTAAATGGCATTCTTTTGTGGTAAACAAAACATTTTATTCAGCAATATATAAATGAATGCAATACCGAAAACCACTTGATGTAATTGAAAGCTTAGAAAAATATCTATTCTGTGCATATCATCATTTCTGAAGCTTGTGCCCCTTTTAAAACCATTCGATAGTCAAATTGCCACCCTCTAAAATAGCACTCGCATAAGTCTTATTAAAAATAGAAAACACATTTGTTTCAATTGAAGCAGATTTCATCCTGTCATTTTCTTGTAATTATCTAAACTTTAAACTTTTGCTAAGTTTGCACAGATAATTATGTACAATGAAAAAAATGAATCAAAACTTGACTGTAAAATTATATTTCATTTAGGTGGACTATCAAAATTTGTTTAAAGAAAATTAGAACACATGATCAGCACCCCAACCTGCATGTCCATCTGACTCCTTAACTTCGATTTTGTGGTGCTCTAGGGTTCACTGTAGAATCTGCCTTCACTATACTAACACAGTACCTATAGCTTCTCGATGACCTATTTCAGTAGTCCAGTAAAAGCATTCCATCTTTGGAATTTAACTCAATTTAGGAAGTCTTGCCTTTCAGGTCCACATGCAGTTAGCATGACCTCTACATGTTGGAGAATGCTCGCATCTGAGAAACTTGTTTTTATCTTGCATTCATGGAATGAAGAATGCCTATATAGAAACTTTCTGTATAGAAAAGTTATTTATAATGTTTCATATTAAATTCTGAATTTATATAAAACAAATAAAAGGATGATTGATAATACTGCCTTAGTGCATTTCACCAATTTTAAAAATAAATCATTAGCCTATTTATAACTCATTTTTAGGACAGATTAACTCCTAGTTATGATGTTAGAATCAACTATAAATTTTGATAATTGTCACATACCGCATGAATACTTTGGAAATCCATATTGTGCATTATAAGGATGCACAGTGATTAAAAGTAAACAGGAAATCTTAAAAATAAAATAATGGTTCTATTTTTAAATTTTATATACTCTATATCATTTAAGAGCATGGGCTTTGTACCAAGACTGTCTAAATTTGAATTCTTCCTTTCCTAGTGGGTTGCCAGAAAAGTCATAATGGTTTTTTTCCATGTTTTTCTATGCAAAAACACATTATGACTTTTCTGACATCACAGTAGGTTGCTAGTTGTTTGTCCTTGGAAAAATTACTTTTCCTCAGTTTCTCAGAGAAAAAATGATGATAATTTTATCTACCTCATTGACTTGTTATAAGAAATAATGAGTTAAGAAATGTCAAGTCCCTGCTATGGAGTAAGAGTAAATGGTGGTAAATGGCAGCTGGACTAGTGGTTATTTTTCTTTTCCTGATATATAGTTGAGCAAAATGATTCTTAGAGTAAGTGAGAAAACTAAATTTTTAACTCTTGATCTGAATTCAAAGCAGGATTTCATTTAATTGTACTACATCCTGACCCCTTCAGAAATGAAGATAAGCCATCATTGAAAGTAGAATTTGTTAAAAGAAAATTTTGGTTTTTAACATTTTTTGTACATGAATAATAATTTCTCTGGAAAGGAGAGGTTCAACCTTAGTCCTGACATTTCTTTCTGACTAAAAATGCGATGCTCAGTTTATGTGTTCACAGCCAACGGAGTAATCCATTATTGTATAATTTTGTAGCACTTCATTTAGCCATATTATTTATAAATTAAGGCTGTGACTGTTTAAATTTATTTTTATGTATTTTGTCCCCTGTACACTTATTTATTAATTTTATTTTAGGTTGATGCTTCTACACAGAAAAATGAAGAAAGTGAGACATTTGATGTAGAACTTACTAAAAATGTCCAAGGATTAGGGATTACGATTGCTGGTTTCATTGGAGATAAAAAATCAGGTAATTTTAAACATTATTGGTTTTTAAACTTGATAATTGTCTTTAATTTTTTTTAATAAATATATTTTTATTTTAAGAATCATTTTATTTAACTTTATTTATTTACTTATTTTAACGAGAGGGACAGAGCAAGAGAGAGAAAGAGAAAGTGAGAAAGCAAGCCACCAAGTCCAGGACTTGTACTGCAGTCGGCCATGTGGAAATCCAGTGCCCCTAACTACTATGCCACCTGCTGGGTCCAGTAATTGCCTCTAATCTTTATATTTTATGAAATATTGAAAACTTCCTTAGGAATGATTTAGTATAAATGACTCTTCTATTGTTTGTAAATTAGGCCAGATAATTTTTTTTATTCTGCAGCCTAAATTTCCACTATAGGTTTTATTTGTGTGACTTGTGACAAATATTTATTCAAAATGAGAGCTCTCTATTTAGAAAATAGAATATTCTTTGGATGGCCTTTGAAAATAGTGAAAAATAACCTATTTCTACTTTCAGAACCTTCAGGAATCTTTGTAAAGAGCATTACAAAGAGCAGTGCTGTTGAGCATGATGGAAGAATCCAAATTGGAGACCAAATTATTGCAGTAAGTTATACATTTTATAATAGCCTTGTTAATCTTTTTTTGGGGGGAGAGGTTTTTGCCATAGGGCGCATGCGCTCACCAGACAGAGACAGAAAGCGAGAAATCATCGCCCAGGGGGGATGGCCACGCCACAATCCCTTCTCCCCCATTCTCCTCTCAGGATCTTGGGCATGCACGCACACGTGCCTGGCATGAGTTTTAAGCCATCGGGTCTGGGGCTCGAACCGCGGTCGACTACATGGGAGTCCAGTGACATAGACATTACGCCAACTGCTGGTCCCAAGTTAATCTTCATAGTTGAGCATTCTTAGTTTTTATTTATTTGTTTATTTACATTCATTCACTGTACGTCACTATAGCATACAAAATGAGATTTTTCCATTCAGAATACACTGTATATTGGCTCAATCAAGCACATCAACATATGTGTTATTGTCAACAAATAATTTTCCATTTCTTGTTTCCTGTATGTTTTGCCTTTTTTCCCATCCTTGATTCTCTATCTCACCCTCTGCCATCTCCCACCCTCCTCCCACACTGTGTCTGGTATCTATTGTTGCTTTCTATGCCTCCCCCATTTTATTGTTTCACTAAATATCTTAATAAATCTAAATATTTTCAATAGCAAGCACAGCTAATATATACATATCCATGAACACAAGTCTGACTTTAGGCATAAACCTCAGTGAATAGAATGAACATACTATAAAGTAGCACCTAGCTAGGGCTATATAGCTTACTTCAGTCATCAAATAGGTATTTTTAATGCTTTCTTTCTTCTGAATTTTTTTTATTAATTTACATTCATTCCCTGAGCATCA